GGCAGCTACTTTTTTTTTTTTTTAAGCTTTACTTATTTATTTGAAAGGCAGGGTTACAGAGAGAGAGGGAGACACAGAGTTCCTCCCTCCACTGGCTCACTCCCCAAATGGTTGCAACAAAGCCAGGAGCCTGGAACTCTAACCAGGACTCCCATGTGGGTGCCAGGGGCCCAATGTCCTGGGCCATCTTCTGTTGCTTTCTTGGGTACATCAGTAGGGAGCTGGATTGGAAGTGGAGGAGCTGGAACTCGAGTCAGCACCCATATGGGATTGCTGGCATGGCAGGTGGAGGGTTCACCTGCTACGCCACAATGCTGGCCCTGGAGTTACTGTTAACAGTCAGGAAGTGCATGTCCTTCAAAGCAGGTGCAACTGACCTTTGCTGATGGAACAACTGTTTTCACTTTTTCTTACTGTGAGGCTGTGAAGAGCTGGTGGTCCTGGCTCTTCCTATCCAATTTGCTTCTCACGGTCACTGCTGGGTTCTATTTCTTCAGGCCCCGGGATTGGTGTGGTCGACAGGTGTTCATAGCTGGGGTTGGGTGGGAGGAGGGGCTGTCAGAAGACCAGCCTTCCGGTTCCTGCTCCAGGACCATGCGAGCAGCTTGTGCATGTGGGAGAGGCCAGCTCTTTGCCCTTGGGGGTTGGAGAGGAGGGAGAGGAAGTCTGTGCTCATCTGCTTTTGTGGGAATCAGATTTTTAAAAAGGGATGATTCCCATGTGGACTCACCATGCCCAATGTCAGGTGGGCTGTGCCAGGCTGCCTGAGAGCCACGCTGCCCTCAGGGGACCACAGCTCGCAGGTGACATGGCCAAGGCTCTGGGCCCATGGCTGGTGCCTTCAGCTCCACTGTTAGAGTGAATCGGTCTTTGAAATGCCTGTGTCAACACTGGGGGAACTGAATGCTCTGAAAGTTCCTGATTCATCTCTATGGAGGGTTAAAATAAAAATCACATTTTTTTTCCCCACCGCATTGAAAAAAAGCCAGTCTCCGTTCGTCACACGGTGTTCCCTAGAACAGGAGCACACACCCACGGAGTCACACGAGGGCGGTGAAAGGCTCCTCTCCCCGGCTGTGCCTTCCCAATTTTCACATCGAGAAGTCGGATGGAATGAAGGATGGATTTCCTTCGCAGCACGTGTTGATGTCTGAGTTTTCTTGTTCACTTGTTTTAAAAAGATGTGTGTTCAGCTCAGGTTCAAGTCTGCTGCTTTTTTTTTTTTTCTAGAAAAAAAAAACACCTTGGTTTGTTCCACTGTTCAGTAACAAAATTAATGCTTGGGCCCTGCTCAGGGTTCAGCTGACGGGTGTGGGTTGTTTTGGTCATGGATGGACAGTGTGAGCCCTTGAGTGGGACTGAATTTCCTCTGTTCCAGCAGAGAATCGCCCGTCTGTTAGCAAGCTGCCTTCTCAGCTCCTGAGGGCTGCCTCAGATTTCCCTGGGAGTGACGCTGGCCTGCTGGCCAGGTGGAGAATGGGGCTCTGTGAACAGGATGGAGCCCCGGCAGAGCACATGGGACCAGGAGGCATGGGGCAGGGGCCCTGTAGGACTTGTCCCACCAGACCTGGGCTGCCGGGATTGGCAGCCCCAAAAGCCACTTGAGCCTTCCTGGAGCCTGCTCACAAGGGAGGAGGACTCCAGCGAGAGTCGTCTGGAAGCAATCCACGTCACAGGTATTGCGGCCAGCGGGGGAGTCTGTGCAGCAGAGCGGAAAGACCCAGAAGTTTATCGTCTTGTGGAATACCTGTCCAGGCACGCCTGGCCAAGTGGCCACTGGCACATGACCTCCTTGTTTCCCTCGAGCTCCTGTTTCTCCATCTTTGAAATGGAGGAAGTGAAGTAGTGATGATTTAGCACCTGCAGGATGATCGGGGCCACATGGAGCTGGCAGGCAATGGGTGTTGCACAAGGCCGGGCTGGGGCTGAAGTGCTGCAAGCTCAGCGGCTCTCACGACTTGGACCGGGGAGGTGTGCACGGACTGCGACCTGAAGACATCCTGGCTATAAGAACGAGTGAAGTGGCTCAGGTGGCTACACACTGCAGCAATTCAATGGCGGGAGGCATCTGTCCAGGTCTGGGGCAGAAAAAAGTGTTTCCATTCTGGGAGCTCTAATTGGGCCTTGCAAGAGAATCCATGGCAAGGAAGACAAAGGCAGGGGCAGCCCCACCAGAGCCTGGGAAGAGCTCTCTCATCTCCCCACATGCCTGTTTTAGATGGCGGGACCCTTGGCCAAAGCCACAGAACAGGCGAGGGAGCAGCAGAGCAGGGGCTGGAGACAGGGTCTCCTGCACGCATCACACTTGCTGGTTTGTGACCTCTTGGTCACTGGGCTTTTGGTTGCAAGTGACAGCAAAACCCAACTCAAACAGAAGCACAGACATTAAAACAGCAACAAAACCCCAACAGTAACAGAGGAAACCGTGGCTCTCAGAGGCATCCCCCCATGGGGCTGGCTCCTGGCCCCTCCTGGCTTTCAGCTCCCAGCTTCACACACAGTAGAAAGAAAGCATCTGTGCCCCGGGTCCCACGCTCAGGTCTCTTGGCCTCGCTGGGGTCCTGGGCCTCCCCTGACCAAACACTGTGGCCAGAGTTCATCCACAGTCACACATGGCTTCCCAAGGAAATGCATCATTCGGTGAGTTTATCGTGGTGTGAACATCCAAGTGGCTTCCCCACCTCTGGCGCTCCTTGTGTGATCCTGGCACGTGGGTTCATGGCTCCGATCCAGGGTGGGTCTGGAGAGCTGCCTGTGAGAGTTCCGGGTCACTGGAGCGTGGTGGTGGAGGAGCTGGTGACCGCAGAACATTCCAGAGGCAATGTGGTAAGGCAAGGGCGAGCTTGAAGGGGGTGAGTCCCAGTGCATGGCGCAGGCTGGCCTGAAGTCCAGGGCTCAGAGCAGGCATGCAGAATGGTGTGCCTGAGTGTCCTGTGCCACCTGGGCTGTCTTCCTTCGCAGGCAGGGAGCCAGGTTGCTTTCCCTCCCCCCGGGGCACGACTCCCGGGCATAGCTCAGTCTGGGCTTAGGGGCTCCAGGAGGAAGTGTGAAGAGCAGGAACCTGAGTGGTGACCTGGGGTCCTCGCGGGTTGGGTGGGGAGCCCCAGCTGGGGTGCCCCAGCCCCGAGTTCTTTGCCAGGGATGCTCAGGGCCCACCTGGCCTAGCCGGCTTGCACCTGCTGTGTGTAGGTCTGTCCTGCAGTGCAGGTGAGGATTTGCCCTCAGTTGTTGGAGGAAGAGCACGCTCTCTGGGACACCAATGAGGGGTGGGAGAGGGACGGGGAGGGGAAGGGGCCACAGGAGATGGTAGCAGAGTCCTCCCCGCGAGGGTCTCCCGCCGGGGCTCGGCAGTGGCAGTCTCCCTGGAGTTGGCAGACAACCCTGCTTTCACTAAGGGCCACCCAGTAGGATGGAACTGCTGAGAGCAGCTGCACGTCACGTCACGTCACGTCACGTCACGTCACGTCACGTCACGCAGGTTCAGGAAGGGGGAGGGGCGAGTGCCAGAAACGGCAGACGACAAACAATGTTGGGTGGGGGTGTGTGCACTTTGTGTGTTGGGGCGAGTCGGATGGCGCAGGGACATTGTCTGCTCCGGTAGTTATTTCTGTTCATAGACTTCTACCCCGTGTGTTCTGGCCGAGAGCCCAGAAGCAGGCTCCTTTCCCGTGCGGAAGGGTCTAGAAGACACCCACGTCTGTATCTCGGGGCTGCCTGTCTAAAGCCGGTGCCCCCTTAGCTCAGCGCACCAGGCAGGACCAGGGCAGCTCTAGCGGCGGGCCCCTTGCAAGCCGTAGCTGGGGACCCGCCTCTCAGCTCTGCTCACCTCCAGGCTCCCTCCATCCTCACCCAGGCTGCTGTTCTCGGTGGGTGGGGCGGCCGCCAGCAGCTCTGGGCAGACTGTGGTCCAGTTGGAAAAGAGAGGAGCTTGCTCTTTGGCTTCAGGCGACGGTCCTGGAACGGACTTTGGCTCCACTGCACGCTGACCTCTTAATTAACCTCTGCTGCTCGGTGGCCAGACTTGGGTCCCTCTCACCCCTGGGAAGCATGTGTGCGTGCGTTTGTGCGTGTGTGTTTGTGTGTGTGCACAGGCATGCATGTGTGTTTGCATGCTTGTGTGTGCGTGTTTGTGTGCACAGTCATATGTGTGTGTGCATGCTGGTGTGTGCATGCGTGGGTGCATAGGCATGTGTGTGTGTGTGTGCACAGGCATACATGTGTGGGTATGTGTGTGTATTTGTGTGTGTGCACGGATGTGTGTGTGTGTGGGGACTGCTGGGCTGGCACCAAAGGGCAGGAGAGTGCCACGGGTCAGGGAACCCTGGCCACGGAGAGTCTGCTAAAGTGCCACACAACGGAGCAGCGGCAGTGTCTGGGACGAGGTGTGGGGTCTGAGCTAAGCTCCATCTTTAGATTGCAGGGAGCAGGAGACTGTGTCTGTGGCCTGGTGACTCCTGGCCCAGGCAGCTCTGCCCTGCCCTTCTCCTCTCTGCTCGGGGCTGGAAGATTTAGGCTGGGCCCTGAGAGAGGCCAGGATGAAGCCAGCCTCAGATCGTCTTTCTGGGGACCCTCCCGGGGTGCCCTCCACAGCTGCTTGCTCAGGTCCTGCAGCAGACAGGTGTTTCAGATGCACGCTTCTGACGGAGACGGAAGCTTGAACTCAGCCCAGCAGTTCAAGTTCTCAGAACTGCGGCTCCGAGAAAGAAAAGGCAAAAGGCACAAAATGAGTTCCTAAGAGGGCTCAGATATGGAAGTGGAAGCTTGCTCGAAACACAGCAGCGGCAGGGTTTGGTGGGAGTGTGGGGTTGCAGGTGCTAGAGGGGTCCAGTGAGGTTATCAGATGTGCTTTTGTGGCTGGGATGGCTGGTGGCTCCCCAGAATCGGTCACTCCCCTTCCATTAACATCACAGCTCAGCCAAGAAGATCGCATGTTCCAGCCTCCTCTGTGAGGTCAGCTACTGAATTCTATCTGATGAAGGGAGAGGGAGCATTGTGTGAGTGTTCTATGCAGTGTCTTTGAATGTGGGCAGGTGGAGGTGGGGGACACCCTGCATCCACTCTGTCTTCTGGCTGCTTGGACTGCAGGCATGATATCTGGGGTCCAGCAGCCACCTTGGACTACGAGGTGATGTGGCAAAAGAGAAGTAAATTTCTGTCGTACGTAAGCCCCCGTGGTTTGCGGTGGTGGCTAGCAGTTGGGGAGGGGGGCTGTCTGTCACATCCATTCAACGGATGCAGCCATAGTTTTGCCTTCCTGTTGGAGTGACAGCCTTGGGGGGCCTGAGATCAGAGGAGCAGCGCTGAGGGCCCGTGGTGGTGACTCCTTCTCCTGACTGGTGCAGGCTGCTGCTGCTCACTGGCTCTGTCCTCTTTGTTTTTGGCCACCGCAGCGAGAGAGATGGACGGAGGACGGCGGGGAGCGGAAGCTATGACTGGCCGAGCGAGACCGCCCTGCCAAATGTCTTGTTCTGAGAAGGGAACAGGTTTCACATGGACAAGATGGAAGGACTGCTTGTTCCTCTGGAAAGTTCTATTAAAGTGACCAGCCCAGACACAGTCTAATATTAATGGGGAATTCTTCCCGTTGTTTATGAAATCATTGTAGCTTTGATTTGAGAGAGAGAGAGAGAGAGAAGCTGTTTGTTAGCTAAACAGAGCAGAGCCCAGGCAATTATTTAAAGATGCATCTGAGTGGCCTGTTTCAACATGAACTGTTAGAAAAGACTCCACTCTGACACCAGTAAGCACTGAGAATAAATTTATGAATGTCTTTTATGAGCGTCAACAAACCAGACGAATAAGCCCGCAGCCCATCTTTCACAGAGAGAACCAGAACAAAGAATCATGTTCGGCCTTGGTCGTGGCCAGGGCCAGTGGCAAGCTGAGCAGAAAGCCTGCCCTGGGGCCGGAGGTTCCCCTCCAGCTAATGGGATTCCTCTGGGCACCGCCGCGGTGGCAGGCAGATGCCTGGTTTATTTCCATCCCTCCACTTCTCTGATTTGTTTGGGGAGCTAAATCTCTCTTGCCCAGGAGCACATCTGCTCTTTTAAAAATGGAAAAAGCAGGGAGGCCTGCAAGCTGTCGGACCGGAGTGTGCTGTCCGCTGAGACACACCAGAGCCCGTGTGGCCGTGGCTCCCCGGGGCCTTGTCCCCTTGCACGAGGGGGCCCAGGCCAGCCAAGCCCCTGCAGGGCTCTCGGAAGTCTGAGCGGTGGAGGGTCCCTCTTGGTGACCCTGTGCCACAATGCCTGGGGCTGCTTCACAGCTTTGCCAAGTGCAGGCTGATTTTCTTCGTGTCCCCTTCCTTCCGTCGGTGGCACGCCGTGATGTGATCGGAAACTACAGCAACACAGAGGTGCAAAAAACGGGGTGGGATAACTCGAAGCCGGCTGTTGAAGGGAACCTCTGTTCTTCTGGATGAGAGCTGTGTCTTTGTCTCCTCCCCTAACCCTTCCTCTGCCCCTGAAGTGCTGTGGGGTCAGGGGATGCTCCTGTCGCACCGTGACAGTGTGGCCACTTCTTGCTGCAGCCGTCCGTGCGGCCGAGGCGACCCGTTCTGCAGGGGGTGGCTCACCTGTGCCACCACTGCAGCTCCCACTGCTCCCATTCCCTTTGGTGCTGAGAGGCCTGGTTTGCAGGCAGCCTGGTCTCTCCCAGGTCCCCTGGCTTCCCACCCAGTGCTCATGGGAATTCCTGGGAGCCCCAGCTCATCCAGGCCTGAGCTGACCACACTACTCGCATTTGCGTGGCCACCCCAGCTTGCTGTGGGGACACCCTCTGAGATGCCCTCTTTATTTGTGGGCTGGGGCTGCAGGGACAAAGCACCCTGTGGGGCGGCTTGAACCACAGCAGTGGAATTTCTCAGTCTGGAGGCCAGGTCCAGGGTCCAGGTGCGTGCAGGGGTGACTTCCCCTGAGGCCTCAGTCCCTGGTTAGCAGGTGGCTCACCCTCTTCTCCTGCCTGCCCCTCCCTGTGCATGCAGCCCTTTACATCTCCCTTTTATAAGGGGCACCTTGTGTTTTTGGATTAGGGAGGCCTCCTTTAGACTTAATCACTGCTTTATTTAAAATGTTTTTTTTTTGGTTAAAGTTTTTTTTTTAAGTTCCTTTATCTTATTTGGAGGTGTCACAGTGAGAGGGGAGGAGAGAGGGGGGGGGGAGAGAGAGATCTTCCATCCACTGGTTAACTCCCTAAATGGCCACAATGACCAGAGGTGGGCCAGGGTGAGGCCAGGAGCCAGGAGCTTCTTCTGGGTCTCCCATGTGGGTGCAGGGGCCCAAGCACTTGGGCCATCTTCTACTGGTTTCCCTGGCCATCAGCAGGGAGCTGGATCAGAAGTAGAGCAGCTGGGACTCATGGGAGCCTATATGGGATGCCACTATGCCACTGCACCGGCCCCTGAATTACTTCCCTAAGGACCTGATCCCCAAGTATGTTTATACCCGGAGGCTCCGGGGACTTGGGACCCAAGCTTGGGAAATTTGGAGGGACACTGTTCAACTGCTAACTGTTGTCTGCCCCTCGATTTGCTTGGAGGCCCAGGGAGGGTGGGGCTGCCCATGGTGGGACCCTCCAGGGGGACTCTCCCAGCCTGCAGGCCCAAGGGCTCTGGCATCCCTCCTGCTGGGGGAGGAATGCCTCCTCCAACAGACCCCACCTTCCCGCCAGCTGGAGCTGGACACCACACATTGCTCTTTGCCAGCGAACCAATATGGAACTCAGAAATTCTTTTTCTCAACAAAGCTGGGCTTCCAAAATTTTTTCTGCTGCTGCCACTATAAATCTCCTTTGAAACTTGCAGCTCAGGAATTGCCTGGCCCTCTGCAGCTGTGGTGGGTGGCAGCCCCAGGGTGATTTGCATTGTAGGGGAGGAGACAGCAGTTGATGGGGGGTATTTTCAAAATTATTTGTAGTTTGGCATCCTGGATTGTGTGATGGGTGCATACACACAGCAGAGATTATCATTCTGAAAATATTTTGTTGCCTGTGCAGGTTTTTTTCATTTTCCTTTCTTTTCATTGTAACAAAAAGTGATATGTGTTCATTTTAGGAACTTTGCGAAACAAATTCAAAGCAAAAAAAAATCATATTTAAACTTAACTTCCAAAGACAGGTGCTGTCCATTTAACTTATCCCCCCCAGTCTTGCTTCTATGGACAGTGTGTTTATTTATTCCAACTATTTTTAAAAGGAATTTATGAATACATTGAATTGGACAATGTCTTTTTTTTTTTTTTTTTGGACAGGCAGAGTGGACAGTGAGAGAGAGCGACAGAGAGAAAGGTCTTCCTTTGCCGTTGGTTCATCCTCCAATGGCTGCCGCAGCCAGCGCGCTGCGGCCGGCGCACCGCGCTGATCCGAAGCCAGGAGCCAGGTGCTTCTCCTGGTCTCCCATGGGGTGCAGGGCCCAAGCACTTGGGCCATCCTCCACTGCACTCCCTGGCCACAGCAGAGAGCTGGCCTGGAAGAGGGGCAACCGGGACAGAATCCGGCGCCCCAACCGGGACTAGAACCCGGTGTGCCAGCGCCGCAAGGCGGAGGATTAGCCTAGTGAGCCACGGCGCTGGCCAACAATGTCTTTTAAAAATTATTTTACATGGGGGGTGGGGAGAGAGAGAGAGAGAGCACAAGTGCTCCCTGCTAGTTCTTTCCCCACGTGCCTTCAAGGACCTGGCGGGGCCTGACCAAAGCCAGGAGCTGGGAACCCAATCAAAGTCTCCCAAGGGGTGGCAGGAGCCCAAGTACTCCAGTCATCACTGCTGCCTTCCACGGTGGGAATCAGGAGCTGGAGCCTGGAATTGTATGCAGGTGCTCTGATGTGGGAAGTGGGCATCTTAACCATCATCTTACCCACTAGACTAAATGCCCAACCTGCTGGGTATTTTTTAATATATATGTGTGTGTGTGTGTATGTGTGTGTGTAAATATGTTTAAAACTGGCAATATTTTTAAATGCTTAGAGAGAATCAACAACACACAGGGAGGCACATGGTGAGCCATCTCCGTTAGCCCTGTTTCTGTTCCCTCTGTTCCCCTAAACCCTGCAGGCCGCCGTTTGTGTTCATTGTTCCAGCTCGCCTGACTGTCTGCTCTTGTTCCTTCCCTTTCTTTCACTGACAGGGTTGGGTGTGTGGAAAGTGGTCCCTGGGGGTCTTTCCTGCGTAGATTCTTGCACCCTGCGCCCACAGTTCTTTCCCCGCAACACCGCTGCCTGTCTCTGTCAAACCTCAGTGTTGTGGGGGTGGGGTCTTGAGATTTATGGCAGGGAATGTTTCTTTCCTCCTCTCTTGGTAACTCTCCAGCTCTGCAACTCCTCGGCCCTGGCGTGGGCCTGGAAGTGCTGTGGTGATGGCCCCTCTGTTCTAGGACGGGCTCTGGAGCAGGTTCGCTGGGCGCTGCTTACCGAGTTGTCCGAGTGCCCAGAGACTGCCCGTGCTCCAACGCGAGCTGTGAGCAGTGGGTTCCTTAAGTGCAGACAGCCGCAGGGGCCAAGATGAGGGCTTGTTCTGCACCAGTCTCCCCCGACTCGGAAAGCTATCTGGCGTGGATACGGTCTTGAGTGCTCATGTCCTAAACTGCAGATGAGACACGCTGAGAGGCAGCCTGCCCAGGGTTCTGTGCCTCAGGGTCACAGGACTCATGGGGCCAAGGCGCTGAGGGCTGCCCTCTTTCCAGGGGAGGCTGGAACCAGCCGGTCCCCTCCCGCCCATCACAGGAAGCTATGTCTCCGGTGCATTCTACAGTTACTCTTTTTTTATTTTTAAAGATGTATTTTATTTATTTGAAAGACAGAGCTACAGAGAGAGGCAGAGACAGAGAGAGAGGTCTTCCATCCGTTGGCTTACTCCCCAGATGGCTGCAACGGCTGGAGCCACGACAGTCCGAAGCCAGGAGCTTCCTCTGGGTCTCCCATGCAGGTGCAGGGGACCAAAGACTTGGGCCATCCTCCACTGCTATCCCAGGCCACAGCAGAGAGCTGGATCAGAAGAGGAGCAGCCGGGACTCGAACTGGCACCCATATGGGATGCCGGCGCTTCAGGCCAGGGCGTTAACCTGCTGCGCCACAGCGATGGCCCCCTATAGTTACTCTTAAGAACTACCAGCAAAGGAGGGTGAGAACTGAGTGGGTCCGGGCCAGCCAGGGGACCATCCTATGGTCACATGACTGCAGCTGCCCAGGACTTTCCTTCTGGTGCTGGTGGGAATGTCTGCCTCTTGCCTCCGGTCTCACCGTGTTGTCATGAGGCAAAACTGATACTGCTCACGGCCAGCTCTCCTACCACATGGAGACAGGGCGGGGCGGGGGCATTGATAGCCCGTAAGAAGTGCCCAGTACTCAGAGGGAAACAAAGAGGGATGAAAAGCCCCATGCACATGGTGGAATCCTGGGCCAGTCCTGCCTGAGACACGTGGTCTCTGGGTTATGGAGGTTAGACTGGTTTTCTGTTCTCATTGTACCAAGTTCAGGAAGCTCGAGCCCCTTGGAGAGGATGCGGGGGTGGGGGCGGGGGGGGGGAGGTGTTGCTGGGAGGTGAGAGTCGGTGGCATTGGCTGTG